TGGGACCATTGGACTTTTTATGTCATATATATTCATGTTTATCAGAAAAGATTTATGTCAAAATAAAATTTAGGAATAAAAACTATACTATATATTTATCATCTGTCTTTTAGTTATGGAGAGAGAAAACGTGGTGTCCATAATTGGAGATGGATCAATTGATTTTAGAAGCATGTTTAGAATTATTTGATGGTAATATTAAAATTCTGTAAGTGCTTCTCGGGACATGCATATTGTGCATTAGGTTCTTGAACGGTTTAACCATCCTGTTTGCACATATATTCATGTTCTTACTATTTTTCTTCCCACGCCTCGGCCCTCGGAATTTGATTGTTGGAGTGGAAATTTATCTGAATGTCTCCTTCCCATTGATTAATTGATGAGAGTTTGAATATGATTTATTTTGTTCAGGAAGCTAATTAAATCCTTACTCAAATTTTAATTGAAACTGCCTTGGGATTCAATTTCAGTAATGATTTGGTTGGCTAGTAATAAATGTGCGTATATACAATAGATGTCTATTGTATATAAGAGGAAGATTAAGAAAATGTAAAAATATTGGATATATATTATTGATGCTACATAGCTCAATTATTACCATATTTATAATATGGTTGGATGAGAAGATAAAATTGTGCAATTATGAAAATGATGGAGTATTATTTCAAAAATATTTATATCTATCCAAATATATAAGATTCGATTGAATACTAGTAGTCCCAGAAGGAGACTAATATTAAACAAATATGGATAGAATGATTATAACAATGCATCGGGTATCTATAAGATGGAAATCAATATTTCATTTATCGATAGCATGTAAGTTGACAATGAATTTCTTATATATTCCCTGAAGGATCTTCTATAAGTTAATAATAATGTTTTTATATACTCCTTGAAGGATAAACACCGATATAAGTATCAAAATAAAATAGTGGTTACACCGTGAGTAAGTCTTTATGACTAATTTTGAGTTAAGATGCTATCGAATATTTTATAATTTGTTACAAACAGTTTGTATTCCTGAAGTAATACATGAGAATAATGAAATTCATCCAAATCAATACTCATGGACACAATATATTAAGAATACTGATATAAAAATAGTTCATTGAGATTGTATTAGTGTCAGAAGCATACGTACAAAAGTATAATTTTTTTTATATGAGACATATGATAAAAAAAAAATCTATATTTTCTATAACACTATATATTTCCTTGATTTAATCGTCATTCTTTGTATATGAGCATATCTTGTTTGATATGTATCCTATTATTCTTGACATTAATTACTTGCTAGGATTTGAAAGTGGTAAGACACGTGAGATATGTCCAGTAGACATTATCCTCTAGATAACGATTATTTTCGATGATGGAGGAAAAATATTATTTAACTTATGGAATAAAATTTCTCATACTTCAATTGTTATACTCCTGAAGAGTTATAAAATAAAAAATTCCCACATATTTTATTATTTTGTCCATGAATCTGATTACGCATGAAGCATATGTGATTAATTTTAACATGCGAACTGTGTATGTTGCTTATCAAAATATGTAATTACGACATGAATTTAGTTTGAAAATAATAGTTGCATATTTTGTTCCGCTATTTTATGTATTGAGTATTGACGTGTTCCAAAGTTATTGAGCCTAAATCAATTTAAATATATTCAACTTTAGTCTAATTGACTAATGAACCAAATGAACGGTATGCAATTTGTATAGTCATAAATTGCAGAGCAAATATCCTCTTGAATATTATACTTATATATATGAGTTTCCCTAAAGGATTATATAATTAAAAGTCTCACTAGTGAATTTAAATATCGACCTAGATTTGGTTATCCTTGAAGGATTGGTCCTGTTGACCAGTACCATAATTGCATAAGAATTATCTAGCGAGGATCTTTGACAAATTGATCTAGTAAGTAATCTCGTTGATTTTTGGATAAATTCATGATCTTTTGATTTTACATCAGCTCTGCATTACTTTTAATGAAGTTATGTAACCAGAATGTTACATAGATTGAATCTATACAAAAGTATTATGAAATTATTTATGTTTGCTTGTATATTTGATAAGATGCATACCACAGACTTATATTGTTGATAACTATAATGTTAATTTATATGTGGTGCCTGAAGCATATAATATAGTTTATAGCTACAATAAAAGGCTCACAAGCAAAGTACAGTTGTAGTGCCTGAAGCATATAGTGTTCACTTAGAAATGATTATTATACTTTGATGCCAAACTTATATATTTGATAATTAGCATGAGCAGTTGGATCATATTGCGCAATTATTTATGATAATTTTCCCCTAAAATGCGTGGAAAATCGAACATTTCCCACCTGCAATTTATTGTTATGCACCATTTTTTTATCACCACCAATTCGTACCTTTATGGGCCTATATTACAAACTAGGTATGCCATGATTTTTATACTCCGTCGAATTTTTAATACCTAGAGGCCATTATAGGGGATCAATTTATTATTTGGTACGTGTTTTGCATAATATATGAAGACGATTTCACGACATTAGGGGGAGATATGAGCATAAGTTTATTAATGCCGTGAAATATGTGAAATATAAATTATTTGAAACCACGCAATAATTATCGAACTTGAAGTTCATATTATATTTCTGCCAAGCAAAATCTATAATAATAATGGAGTGACCAATTGTGAATATATAGATGTACCACAAAGTAATCAAATTCCCTAGAGAATGATTGACTCCTTGATGCTAGAAGCATAAGGTGATATAATCAATATGATGTATGAAAGTCCGCGGAAAATGTATTTTCAAGAATTAACACTCCATTATAAGAAACTCCAGAAGAGTTGATCCAGTACATCTTGCACGTGCAACAAACCATTATAGTACTGGAAATGCGGAAATACCAAAATTAGATATATGGGAAATGATTATAAATATGGCTAGTAAATATGAAGTAGAATATATGGTTGAGAGAAAAATATAAGTTGAATATCAGTTGTCGACAACATACTTGCCTATGTGATTTCTTTACTATCTCATATAATGATCCGGATCAGAATAATGAAAGTGCTAGAAGCACTTAGGTTGATTGAGATAGAAAGAAAAATTGAGGCAGAGCTTTCACTCGCTACACGATATATCCCAGGAGGATAGCATATCCCAGAAGGATAATGAATATTTATATGAAACATGTGATGTGGTGGTGTGATGTAAATATAGCGAGATTATGCTCATGGGTTTATGCAGAGACCCAAATGTTTATTTAGATAAGTTCTCTCATTATCAATGATTCCACAAGTTAATATTTATGGCAACATTATTACAATGACTATTGAGTCATATGTGAAAGTCTTGGATGGACTCGAGTACCCGAGATGAAAGATAATTAAATGATAAATATTTTCATTATTTAAAGTTGTTGGTGAGATGTGGTACAACCAACTAAATTCTTCCTGAAGAAGTAAAATAAGAAATTTAAGGTAGAACCTTGTGTACAATGATATACAAAATTATCATCTCGGCCAAATAGATTATGTGGTGAACACTATGTAAAATATTAAATAAGTTAGCTCATGCTTATAGACGGAGTAAGGATGAAACTTTTGGTTAAATACCAATGAGTATTATCTCGACTTGTAGATGGAGCATCTCCTAGAAGGAATATTTTTGACCCAACCAATCTACTTGAATCTCTTTTAGAGATGTAAAATTGTAACACCAATGAGTGTCAAATATTTGGCATTTGACAAAGATCCAAAGAAACAAATGAGAATATTATAGGACCTGGAGTTCTAATGGACTTGAAGTCCACAAACGACATGAAGTTTATTTATTAAGCGCAATTGTGCTAAACTTTTATCTCACAAAATGCATCAGGCCTGATACTGCATTTGTGATGAATTTGCTAGCAAGATTTACTAAATCTCTCCTTAGAGAGATATCGTGATAAATATTGAGAATATCCCATTATTCTTCATGTATGTTGAGTTATCTTTGGACTTGATATATGATATTGTGGATAAGGACATCAATTGTATAATTGATCCCCGAAGTATGGGTCCTCAGTTGGTTATATACCTCTCAAATGGTATTAACTTTTTACCATTGGTTATTG